ATATATATATATATATATATATATATATATATATATTAATTACAGAGGAAAGATATTGTTAAGCTCATAAAGTCAACAATTTTTTATAATTGCATGAAAATAAGTTCATACTTTAAGTAATATTAAACATACTTAATTTAATTTTGTGATCACAAATTTAATAAGCAATGTACACTCAAGTCATGCTTAAGACTTGAGATGTTGAAAGTTTAACTATGGCTTAAGGCATGATTTAAAAAAGAGGTGTTAGTTTTTATACTACTGAAAAAAAAACTTTTGAAATTGTTTAATAAACGTGGATTTCAAGAAAAACAATTTTTTTAAAATATTGTGATATTTTTGAAATTTTTTTGCTAGGTTTCGATTATTTCTTTTTCATTATGAAAGTGATGAGAGGTTCATTATCTCGATTTGTATTTTATTTTTCTTTCTGTTTTATAATATTTTTTTCCTAGTACAAGTGTTTTAATGTTTTTTATTCAATGTGGGATGAGAAAGGTAAGAACCAATACATAAAGTAAAAAATAGGTTTCGATTATGAATCGAAGTCTAAAGTCATATATTTTTTACCTTGTCTAAATATGCTTTAGTTAAATAATCAAAATATAATTTTCAAAATAATTGATGTTAAAGCCCTTTACTTGCATTAGTGTCATGTCTATTAAAGGATTTTCAATCATGGTGAAAAGGGAAATTTGTTGTAAAGAATTTGGTGAACAATAATAAAGTGATTAAATCCCCTGCTAGGGATCTTCAATCAACAAAAATAAATTTGATTAAAGAAAGCCTTATATGGAATAAAATATAAAATATCTAATGTATTTATATTAGAGATGTGATTTTAAAGTAAACAAAGAATGCAAATGTCTTTTAAAAACTTTATACAAAGATTTACTATGCTTAATTTTTTACTTAGCTTAAATTACATCACTCTATAAGTTATTATTTTCTTAAAACTTTCTTTCTAAATTTATTGTATGACTAGTAATTTGTTTCACCAATAAATTACATCCTTGAAAAGACAGTAATAGATCTGTCATAATATTAATAAGGATAAGTTATTGTTCCTCTTATAATTAATTTTATTCTTTTTCTTCTATTATTTGAGATTGGGAAGTTGTAGACTCTTATTGTATTAATCAACTAATAAAAGGAAGTGCAATAGTAATATGAATAAGGAGAAATGTTAGTTGTGTAGACAAGAGTTTTAGAAGTTTTATCAACCTACTTAGAAGAAGTTTTTTCTTTCTTATATGGCAAACTACCTCCTTATAGATAGTTTACGTTTAGTGCTTTAATTTGATTTAGATGTGATAAGATGATATGATTGTTGTGGATTAAATTTGATATTCCTTTGTAATTAAATGTAGTTATGATTTCAAAGGTATATGAAAAATAACTTATTTTATATGTTTAAATAAATCATGTGGGGTACTTTGGAATTGCTAAATATAAGTTATTTACCAATTGGTGAATTATTTTATTTTGTGATTTTTCCATAACTTTCACTTAAGCATTACAATGGCTCTTGAGCAATGGGTAACATTGCTTGCATCGAGAACTATTGCTCAAGTCTCTAAAGGTCACTCAAGGGACAATGTTCCTCATCCAAATTATGACTTGAGCAAGATATATGTTTAATTGCTTTTTCTTCTCTTGAGGTTTTCATCACTAAGAGACCATCAATCAGGAGTTTGAGTTTAAAGATTATTCTAGAACTCAATGGCTCGTACAACAAGTAACATTGTTTAAGAAACTGTGTGATGCTTGGTTGATTGAATAGTTAGTGATGGCTTATGCAACGAGTCACGTGACTCAAGAAATTGTGTGATGCTTAGGTGATTGAATAATTAATGTTGATTTTCTCTTATTTGGAATCCAGGTACTTAATGTCATATTAATTATCCTTTTTATAGATTGTATTGCTTTAACAATGTGAATTGGTTAAGTAATGAGTTGTCACTTAATTGATAATGTTAGAATTTGAGAAATTATTATTTTTCTGTTTAGAGAAGACTAGTTGCTTAAGAGAGGTAGTCTCGTTCAAACAATATATCTATGGTTATTTTGACATGTATTTTTTATGGTACCTATACAACATATTGATAAAAACCCATTTTAGAATTAGCAAGATATGATGTTATGGTGATTAAAAAGACTCTAGGAAGATCCACACTTGACATTAAGATAACAAAGGTTGTCTGAATGTGAAAGTTCACTTCCAAAAGCTTTAAAGAAGGAGCGGAATTCAATTAATTGAAGTTAAAAACAAGACATCAAAAGTAACATAGTATGCACACAAAACATAGAGCATAAGTAACCAAAATGAAGAAAAGATGGAGTAAAAGATGAAAGACTTGAAAAGGGATGAAGATGTAGGGTAGCATGCCACTTAAGGGAGCATTAAGGCTTACCAACCCAATATAAGTGGGAATGCCCCCACTTGAGCTCTAGTCTCAAGATAAGGATAGAAAAAAGGACACTTACAAGAAGAGCACTCACAAACAATGATTAAATATATGTGTATAAACTCCAAAGATATGCAATCCTAACAATAGTCTAGAAGAGTCTCTTGTATAGTTGATGATGAGAGTTTTCTTAGCAAAAAAACAAAGCCAAATGTTCTAGAAACTATGTTAAAAGGAGGTGTCTTTAAAAGGAGAGAACTCTTGCTTTGTCATCAAGCCTCTCATGTGCACCCTTGACCTTCTAGAAGACAAGGTTAACTCCTTGTGCTCTCCCTTATACATTAGGTGTGGTTGGCTCCAAGGATGATACACTCATCCACTCCATGTAGTGTTATTCTCCTCTAATTTGACACTAGCTTGACCTACAAAACAAATACCAAAGATCAAAGGTCAACAAGGCAAATTAAGTCAAGTGAACTCAACTTACAAGAAAAGTCAACATAATGAAATGAAAAATAAAGACAAAGATGATGGTTTAGAGGTATTCCTCCTAGTCATGCTTCTTGTAACTCTTCTTAGAAGGTCCTCTAAAATTTCACGGTGAGTCATGGACTCATCACAAATACAGACACTTGAGATATATATGTAATGACACAAGATGATATGATATACATGACATTATATATTAATTGTACCTATGATGATATCATGGTTAATTGTGGTCGTAGCAAGAAGAGTAGAGAAACACATTAAGGAAATGTGATATCCATGTTTCACTAATAATCCAAATAAAATAGATTAAGATATTTGGTTATGAGAGACTCAAAGAGATTCTTACATAAGAATTTGTAGAGTAAGTGCAAGAAATCATTCTCATGTAAGATAATTAAGATTAAATTATCAATATTACTTTCGACAATGAAACATACTTATATGAGTCTTCTAGAAAACATTGAGTATAACAACTTACCTCGATGTCATATAAGATTTAATTAGAGTTTCTCTCAGTGTAAAATTATGAATTTTGTCTTATTAGTTTTATCATGTTCTTAATATCGAAAATGTATATTATCGTTCTATATTGAAAATATGTGTGGTGACGATTTAATGGTAAGTATGTGTTTATAAACTTATATTTAGAATTACAAATATTTGAAAAATTAGTTCAATCTTGTTACATTTGTGAAAATTTTATATAAAAGTATAAGTAGATGATTTTGTATGTAAGAATAACACATTCTATTGAATAATATTCTGATGCAGAAGTTTTATATGTATTTGGGCTTGCAATATTTATTTAAATCATATGAGAAAAAATATGTATTTTTTAAAAAATCTATATGATTTCTATTACATAAATGAATATTTTTAAAGTAAAGTTAACAACAAAAAATGAAACTGTTCATCATAGCTAATTCTGCCTCTAAATTGATAAGTTGTTGAAATTAAAATAGGAAGATAGAATGACAGGATTAGTTTGTAAATTTTTTAAAAATATAAATTGTGTAGTCATTACTTTCTAGAGATTTTTTATAAAAAATAGAAGCTATTTTATATTTATTTAAAATATGAAAAAATTAAAAGTAACAGCTCATGTGAAGCTAATCAAAGAGCTTACGATTTTAATTGGATTCCAAATTATTTTTGGCCTTGATTATCTTTAAAAACTGAAACAAAACATTAAAGTAGTTTTTCTAAATGTGTTGTTGAAAAAACCTGTAACAAACCAACCTATAATCTTTAGTTTACTTATTACAAAAGCCATTTCCCTCTTTAAAAATCTAAATTACCAAATACGAATAAATAATAACAAATCCTCTAGAAAAAAAAATATAAATTTAAAAATAATCCATTTTGGGCTATAGAAAGAAGGAAAAAACACTTGGATAAAATAGCAATATCCCCAATTGTATTAAAAGTTCTACCTTAAAAACATATAATCCATTTAATGAAATGAAATACATAATATCAGAAGAAAAGTTTAAATATGATGGAAGAGAAACACGTAAAATAAGGAAAGAGTAAGAAGATGCTTTTCAGGTATATCTCGATAATGGCTGCGTGCTCAGACTGGCTTGCTCTAGGGGGAAGTGCCAGAGGCCTTATATTTCAAAAACAATAATGTATTTTGGAATTTAAGATATAGACGAGAAAAAAATTAAATTGTGTATTAAATGTCCTTTGAAAATTTTGCTCCTTTGATGAAACAAAATATGAAAAAGGAACCATAGACTGAGATAATTGGATGGCTAAACTTCTTGTTGGCACATTATTAGATTCACATCAACCAGTCTCATATGGCCACATAATGAATCTGCATAAATTTCTATCACATCAATAAAAATGGAGTCAGATTCTTTACAATTTGAACCAGGAATGTAAAATAGTTTCTCTAATCTAAGTGGGGACAAAACTTATGAACAAAATAGTGCACCAAAGGCTAGGAGAAGGGAGATAAACTCTGCAAGACTTCCTATGCCACTGATTATGACACAAGAACCAAAGAGTGCAAGCACACGTTACAGTAGAGAAAAATAATAGTGGATGTAGCATGAGAGCTAAAACTTGTTTGCCAGAGCATGTATTTTCAAGCCTTCAAGTGAAATTTTCCTGGCTCAGAGTATTTCGTTTCCAGCTGCTCAGTTTTGTTAAATTTAAAACCCCTGATTCTCAATACCTCAGGCTCCGTCGTATCTTTGTAATCAACAGTTTCAAGGATCCAACCGTTGTTTTGAACTGAACCACTCACGTTTACCTAATTTATTTAAATAAGTTCAAGCATCAGTTTGAAATATTCAACATTCAGTAACATGTGCATCAGTGGTGGAGTATAATAATAAAACTAAGAATAGGAAATACTAGACCGTGTGCAATTTTTGAAGTAGGAAATTTTAAGTTGGGATTTTAGTGTTCAGGAGATTCATTTGTTTTTAAAGTCTTTCATTTAAATACCGATAACAGGACTATTCAGTTGGGTATTAATTAAGAAAAGCTAGATTCACCTAGTCTTATGGATTGCTGTGTAATTTGAGTTCTCAATCTATATTATGCTGTTGAAAATTGAAACCAAATCTCCCTAGTTATCTAGTTAGTACACCCCATTTCTATATCTGTGTTATCAACTATGGCTGAAACTGTTTTTGACTACTCAACAAAAGTTATCCTCCAACCTGGCACGGGCAACCATGAATAAAAGCATATCTGGTTTGGATAATTAGAAGTATAGTACATAATACTGAGGTGGATGAGGAGGTGTACACTCTAGTAATGTCTGTCATATATCAAATGGTAAAACTGGTTCTCTCAAGCTATTAATATGCAACTCGGGAAATAGAAATATTGATAAATTGTCTTGCCATACCTCTGCATCATCCACAGCATCAATGATGAGAGCCCCATCTAACGACAGATTTTCAATAAAAATATTTTGACCCTTGATGGCCAGTGTAGACCTTTGGGAAATGGAGCAATTTCCACCGACTTTGCTCTTAATCCGAGAAAAAGTTAGACCCCATTTGGGTTTCCACGTGACGCGAGGCCAAACTTCAACCTCTTGGCCATTGAACACCTGCACAACTGGCTCTGCTACTTGGACACCGGCCTGGCAAGAGAAAATGCAGTATTAGCTACTCATTTGTCTGATGCAGGCTGTAGTTCTAACAATTGGCATCTCAGAGTCAGACAAAAGCACAAAATGAGGCAAGACCAGATCTTTTAGATATACAGATGTAGGCATTTTACAATCAACCTGGAGATAAGTTAGATCCTTGGAGTTGGAATAACATTCTAAGAAAAAATAACTGTATATAGCAGGCCCTATTATAGACATGTGAGAGCTTCATTGGCAACTAAATAATCTTATAAAACTCTCCTATAATCCATATAGAGTTCTAAAAAGAATGCAATTCTATCACAAATACCATAAAATTAACTAAAATAAGAAGCCGATATTTTCAAAACTAGTGCCTACCATAATTGTAATAAAATCTTAAAAAAATGAAGACATTACGAATAACAAGATAAACCAACGCGTCATGAAAAACTAGATTACCTTTTTGAGAATAATGCTATTTGCACGATAGATTGCCATTTCTCCAGAGGTTGCACTATGGTATGGATTTCCCTTCGGTACCTTCAGTAAAATTAACAAAATAAATAAGAAATATTCTCTCTTTTAAAACTTTAGTGAATTAAGATAACATTATTCAAATTCTCTACGATTGAGATAGCATTTCAAATCCAAATTTATTAATTGCATACAAACTTATAGTTACACCTTTCCAGTCTAGTTCAATTAAGAATTGCATACACTTCAATAGGGAATCAAGGGCTAAAAACGCATTCTTCCCCTATGTCTCCTTTTATCAACATTGTTTCTCCATGCCTAAATTAGTATATTAGAATTTATGTTGTACCTTAGCAGCATCCTCAGCATTATTCTTCACAGGTGCATAAGCAAGCCATGTTTCCATCACCTACACAATATATAGGATCAGTTAGATAGCACCAAGTATAACAGCCGAACATCCATTAACAAAGTAGCATGACCGGACGGCATCTTTAACCTAACAAGGTTAGGTACAAGGATGACGTCAAGCTCGATAAGCAATGATTTCCTACGATTTATTCACTGTTCTCAAACAGACAATTTACCGTGAACCCAACCCTGGCAGATGGGGACAATGTTTTTGGATAGTCTTGCATCATACATTCAAGTCGAGTTGAGGACTTAAATGAAGTTTTGCTGGCATCTTTATATCTGCAGTAAGAAAATATAGAATGATGACATAAGCATTGATAATATAACCGTAAGAAGACATGTCCCATAAGTTCCTTAAAGTGTAACAGACGTTCAAGAACTACAATATGACTAAAAATTGATGTTACTTATTTATAGTCATGTCCACATCAATATCAATATACTAAATGAAATCTAGGAAACTGATGAATTCAGCTTATAATGAACTACCAGTGAGAAGTAATAAAGGTACACCCTGAGCACACTAGTCATCTGAATCAACTTCCTTATTAAAACGTATACATAAAAGTATAGTGAGTATGAGAAAGAAGAATTACTTTGGGTTAACGAACTCCTGTATGGCACCTCCTGTTTTAGAGAGCTCTTCAATGTAAGGACCCAGCCCTAAAATCAACTGTTTGAATAAGATATTGTCACTATGGAATCATGGCGTAGTTCAGCTAAATAAGGACATAATTATAATGATACAGTTATAACCAAACCATGCTATCACAGCCATGTGGTGTTTGAGAGCAATGCGGATAAGAATAATAATCATCCCAACAATAGATAATCAAAAAGGCAAATTCAAAGAGAGTGAGGGGTTGGGGTGCGGGGACAACGTTGAAGTACGAAAAAGAGGTTACTTGGTTAATATTGCCAGGAAATGGGGAGAAGCCAGTCTCACAATTTACATCGCCTTCAGGGTATCCACTTGCTCTGAGAAGAGGATCTAGCTGATTGTACTCCACATTTATCACCATAGACCTTCCTGATAATGCATTCAAATTAATCATCAATAAATGTAAAAATACAAATTCAGGAAAATTCATAAAAGTGGCACTAACATAGTGAAGCCAAGATAGAGATACATTACTTACATAATATTAATATATATTTGAATGAAACTGTAAAGCATAAAAAATTATAAGAAATACTACTTTAAAAGTCTCGTTAAATTGTAAAAACATATGGCAAAATATTACTTTAGCTTCAGACAATTGTTCTGGATTTCAAACTTTGAACTCACTTCAAATAATTTTTCTCAAAGAAAATGATCCATCCCAGTAACCATTGAATAAAATTTGGTAGCATTTTCAATCCTTGTGAGAAAGAAAAATGAGTGGCACAGAGAGATGGAGAGAATAAGAGGGATGAAATAACTGTTCACATTTAGTTTTCACAAATTTACAGTTCGACAATGTGAATTGCATCAGTTCAAATGAACACATGGAAGATCAGCATCAAACGTTTCAGCATTATGAATACCTATGTGTAATCAAAGCAGATACTAATACATATTAAATCATCATTTTTGTATAACAGTCGGTTAAAGACAAGATTGCCTATTAATGCACAGTACTTACAACTTTCTTATCAGTCACAAAAAATTGCAAGCGGTTTACATGACCAACCATACATCAACATTGTCTGCCATAATCCCGACCCCCATTAATTATGATAAATGATAATATGTTCATCAAATTTACAGTTTCAAATTACTTTACAGGTAAGAGAGCAGTTACATCCCACTGTGACATGCGCAAAAAGCAATCGTATTATTCTCAGCCACATTAATAACGTAAGTCCAGAATCAGCATTGTTTTCTTTGTCTGTGAGGGATGAAATTGTTAGCTTACCATCAGAGTGAGTGAGTCGGGTGATTCCACCAATAGCTTCTTTTGCTTTCCGAGGTACCGCAAGAGAGTTAACATGGTACTGTTTGGAAGCACTGACACCCAGTGCTGCTGGAATTGCCTGTATCCTCAAATTATTAGGCAATGAATATTTAAAATATATTGATAAACAAACCAAGTGTGTCAGAATCTGAACTCAAAAATTCCAAAATAACTCACCTTGAACAGAAGCCCATTTGTATCTTGGAAAAATAGAACCCATTTCAACCCAGCATCATACCTAACAGATGAGAGTCATTATACAAAATTATCAATATATCAGTTAACGTTAGTAATATACCCCACTTTCGCTTCTAATTTCTTGGATTTCCAGAATACCATCCCATTAATTTGCAGAATTGAAAATCAATATTTATAGTTTTACTTAGTTTCTTGGGTGTGACCAAATATATTCAGAGTATTCTTTAAATTATTTAGAAACATGTATTGAGAAGATTTTCAAATGTACAACATAGAAAATATGAAATTGACACACAAGCTGATCCTAAAAGATAAATGAACTGTTTGAGTCATACCATACTTTGAGAATCCCGCTTGAATAAAGAAGTGAATGCACATCACCATGCCCATGAGGTTTTGTCTACACAAAGAGAAATGGTCATTTGATTGATCTTAGTTTCAAAATATAACTATGACGTTAACAAAATGCACTTCATTCATTACTTTTTGCTAAATAAACTTCCCAGTCACAATCATACTGGTACCCTGTATATCACTACCTGAATTTTGTACTTGTTTTGTGGTTCCAGTGCAAGCCTGGCATCATTATCTTCTAAGCATGCAACTTTTTCCTGAATTACAAAAGTTAAGAATTAATAAAAAAAAATATATCAAAATAAAATTTTGGTCCCCGCATCAAATATTATTTTTTCAATTTAGTTCCTAAATGAAAAAGCTATTTATTTAGTTCCAATATGAAAAAGACCTTTACCAATTGATCCCTGAGTTTCTCAAAGTTACAGTAATATTAGATTTAGGCACTGTACTTGACACCATTTTTTTGTTTTTCATTTTGGTCCCAATAGGAAAAAAATTCTTATACCCCTGTAACTTCGATACATGACAGGGATTAATTGTAAACAATTTTTATGTGAAGAACAAAATGTAGAGTTTATCCACATAGAATTTTTGAAAGAGACATTCAAATAACATACCTGCTTTAAAAGTGTTACTTGTGTGGGTTGCATACCAAAATAAGAATTTGATTCTAATAGCTCTAAAGTGCGTCCATGAGTGTCATCAGATGTCATAATAACAAGAGGAATCTTAGTTTGGGATTCACCTAAAAGTTGAAAAGCACAAAGATTACTCCAAATGATTTTGAAATATGATACTTAACATTAATAGCTAAAATAGAGCGGACTACTATTTCTATGAGAGGCGGAAGAAAATAAAGTCTTCGGTAACTTACGGCAAATCGGAACAGCAAAATATGTTTTTAAAAAAATTACCAGAAAATGTTTTCTAGAAGGAAGCTATTTTCCAGTTGGAAATTTTCAAAAATCAAGTCATTCTACAATTTTACGACCGAAAGTGATAGGGGCATCTGAATTGTATAATTTAAATAATTTATCGATTATCTGCATTAAATAGTTAATGCACAAGTCCATCAATATTTCTTTTTGCTTTACCACATAAGCAACTGATACTACCTTGTGAGCTGGCTTCTTGAAGAGCCAATATAGATTCAATATAATGCTGAATGAAACATGTTCCAGTAGTGGTTTCTGCAGGAAGAGCAACCTGCATGAGCAACCTACGATTAAGATTTACGAATCAGGAATTAACCCATATATATACAAAAAAGAAAGTTAGTTTCTTTTTTATATTAACTCAGACTTTCTTAAATACATATATACATTTACCACATTACAATACTCCGTTTTGGGAGGAGGGTAAAGAAGATTACTCTATAATCAAAGAAAGATAAAATTCACTAGAATAATCGATCTTCTGACCAGTGTTTACATCCGCATTACACACAATAGCCTAGCAACAAAAACAACGATGACACAAGGCGACAAGACATACCTTAATCCCACTGTATCCTAAACGCTCACCAAGACCACCAGCAACAAGAACAAATGCAGCTTTCCGAGCCTCACGCACACCTGTTTCCTCAAAGTTGATGTAATTCTCATCGCCAAAAGTCAAAGTCTCACCCGTTGGAACCTTCAGAAACACCAACAAACAGTGTCACGCCTTTTCCCATGGTTAAACCGAGAATTCGAACGTTATTACGGAAGAAAATAGTACACTTCATAAGCGCAATGCTGAAAACAAAAGCAGATATAAACCGGGTTTGTTGAGACTTACGGAAGGAGTGAAACCATCGTAAGGGTTTTTGCCAGCCTTAGAATCGGCCAAGAGCCGTTTAGCGTTTTTGATGTATGATTCCAAACCGCCAGGGTAACTCGAATCGAGTAGAGTCAACTAATGAAAACGCAGCGTCGTTTAGAAAGAGAATGAACGAAGGAAGCGGCAGATCTATTCAATTGAATTGCAGGAATAAACGAAACCTGATCGAAGAACGCTTTCTTGTGGTCGTCGTCGACGCCGGGAGGAGGCCAATCTCGAAACAGGTGGTCTTGGCCGTTCTCCAACAGCATCTTCACCAACTCTTGCTGGATGATTAACCGAATTAAAATTCAGAAGCATTCGTTCAAAGATGAAAACAAAAAGCAAAAGAGAGAAAAGGAGAGAGGAACTGAACCTGTTGAGTAGAAAGAAGGTTGAGGTTCTCGCCGAGGGAGGTAGCCATGGCTGGAGAAGAAGAAGATAGTGGCAGGTGAAGGTGGTGGTGGTGCGTGGAGACAGAAGAACACAACAAACATGAAAATAAATGCAAATTCTATTGTTTTATATTCTTAGGATTTTGTTGTGTGACATTTATTTTATTTTATCATATATTTTGTTTTGGGATTAGCTGGTGAACCGGCGGTGCCGGTGTGAGTACGTGGATCTGAGTCTGAGATCCAACATCCTCAACTTCGGTTCGGACCGGAAAGCACGGGTCACGGTCAGTTAGTTAATGAGACCCACACTCTACGTCTCGTTTTTTCTCCTAATGTTGTTAAGATTATCCACTTTTATGAGTAATAGTTCAAAGATACCTTTATTACTCATAAATAACTAAAAATTTATGTAAAACACAAAACAGAAAAATATTTTTACGTTTTCATTTATTTAAATTTCAAAATCTCAAAAGACATTAACAAAGTGGTAAAATTTGTGATAGGATTAGTTGATATCTTACGTATATCTTTTCTTCAACGTGCTGTTATAATTTCATCAATGTTTTACTTTATTAAAAAAAAATTCTTTTAACTTGTAAAAAAAAACATTTTCGAATTTTAAGAATTCAAAACATAACGGTCATGCTCACAATTCTCCATTTTTCTGTTGGTTTTCAGTTTTAATCATTCTAAGTAATTTTTTACCCTATATTTTTCTTCCCCACTTTAGACAAAGCATATTTTTTTGGTTTAAGACTTTAGCATAAAGCTACCCCTCTCTTTATTTATTTTTTCTTTTAATTTTTTTATATAATCCCTTTCTTTCTTTAACAAAGTAAAAGCTTTTTTTAACACGAGTGTTGTGTACTTGTGCAGCATATCAAAATTCCTGTTAGCGTAAAGCTTTCTTTTTCTATAAAGCGTAGGTGAAATTTTTTTGAAAAAAGTGTGCTGTATCAAAATTTCAGTGTAACTTTGGCATCGATGATAGCCACTTTGCAGGGTGGTGTAAAATTTAAACTGAAATAGATAAAAAAAACAAGATCTTTTTGTTGCAAAAGATAAAATTTCATTTTAGATTTTATTTTTTAATAAAAAATTCTTATTAAGTATCATCATATTTATTTCACATCTCAGAATATACTCACATCTTATATCCATCTTAGATTCATATTAGATTTCAGAAATTGGTTTACTTCAGTTTAAATGAACTTTTAAGTTTATATAATTTACAATATCTATCTTATATATTAGAGAAGTAATTTAAGGAAATACTGAAATTAGTAAATTTGAAAAAAAAAATGTTGTTGAAGTGATGTCATACCTCATTAAAACGCACCCAAAACCCCTCTGCGCGGACGTCAGGTGTCAAGCAATTAGAATTCTGAAATCAGATAGTGGAAGGCAGGTGTCGGCAGGAGAGCGGACGCTCGTTTGGACGTGGAAAGAAAATGATTGTTTCTGAAACTTCCGTCCCACTCTCTTCTGCATGCACCCTCCTTCCCAAACCCTGAACTTCTCATTTTCTCCTCCTTCTCACTAGAAACTCCATCCTCTCTTTAAGAAAACTCACCCTTTCTTTTCTCCGATCATCATTTAGAGACCGTAGAAGCGTTCCAGGTGTCATAAGCTTCATTCTGAACCAAACTGTTCCGAGTTCTGAAACTGGTAAGTCTTTTTTCCTCATTCGTTCGTTCTATAGTACATGCAAACCAAGTCTCGGTTGCATGCTGATATCTTGTCTGAACCACTTTTGGTTTTTGGCTGTTGGTTAGTTAAGATTTGTGGAACGTAAGGGTAGAAGAGATTTTAGTCAGACAAACCATACTTCTGCCTCTAGGACGATCGTTCACACTAGAGGTAAGGGAAGCTTATTCATTTTAATTCTTATGTTTTTACTGTGTTGCATGGACGTTCTGTGAGTTTTATGAAGCATGACTTTGTGATATTTGATTATTTGATATATGATAATGATTATGAGCTGATGTATGAGGAATATGAAATGTGCTATGATATGAATGTATGAAATTATGAAGTTATATGCTGAGAAATGAATTTGAATGTAAATGAATACTGAATATGAAATTCCCCTATGATATTGAACGTTCGGCATTGAACGGTCCTTGATTGTTCGGTGTTTTTAGTAAACTTCTTTAAAATTGAATTCTTTCATTTGGGAAGAATTCTATTTGAGGAAGAGCGCCTTCTTGTAATGGTGCTACGTTTGAGCGTTCGGTCAATCGTAGATGCAGCTGAGTGTTATGTGATGAACTGAAAATCTCGTAAACTTGTATTTGTATATTTATTTATTTCCTAAACGCTGTCTCCATCGTATCTTATTATATTATTATTAATGTTTCTATTATAAGTTTTATTAGTGATAGGCCTCACCCCAAAGCTCTCGTAAAGAGTGGCGCTCGGTATTGTACCGAGCGTTTGTACTCGTTTCTAAGTGGTCAACCTTGATAAAACAGCGTTCGTCCAATTTCAGTAGAATCTCCTTTACCGTGCTAGGTCATTAATCGGCATTTGGTCTATATATATATATATATATATATATATATATGAATTATTCTACGTATGGTTCTTTAAAGTCTTGGCACATCTATATTAGTTGTATCCGACCTAGAGTCCCCGTACCTGATGTATTCTTCGAGTGTTAGCTGGAGTTCACGAGAGTCAGTTCATTTAACTGATTCATGTTGTAAGTCACGGTCGTCTCATATGGTAAAAGTGTACTCGATTTATTCCTAAATCAAATGGTAATCCCTCAGTCTTATTCCATTCTAGAACGAGCGACTTCTCGGTCTCGTTCTTAGTGTTCGTCCTCATTCTGAGTGAGGACTGAACGTTCGTTATTTATTGTTAGTAGATTTGGTGATAAAGATGAATTTAAAATGTTGGATAATAATAGATGAAGAGTATATGAGATGGATAAAATGATGTGGAATATGAACGAGCGTTCCGGGGAGGAACGACTCATGTATGAATACTGGATTTGGTAAAGTATGACTGTGGGCATGCTAAGCTGGTCGTTCATCCTGATGTTCCGTGAGTACTCGTCTTCACGTAGAGGAGGGTAGGTCATGTGTGGGAACGACAGGAGGTCCTAGTCCTTAGGGGTACTTTGGACAGATAGGGCTAACCTCGGGTGGCAGCTGTTGAGTGTATCCCAGTTACTACATCACCCGGGTGCACGAACGCCTGTAGCTACACATATTTCATACAGTCCGGACGGTCAGTCTAGTGATAGGCTTCGTAGTGATTCATGTGTTGAAATGCTCTTGTGTGTTGGATTGTTTAACATATATGTTGATGCATGAATTAAATTACATAAGCTTACCCTGTGTTTTCCTTGTGTTGTCTCGTCTTGTGTGTTCGTCTTGTCGTTGCAATGATCATCCGTGTGGATGTGAGCAAAAGGAGACGCGCTGCTGGAAGAGGCGCTGGAAGAAGAAAACTTGGTCGAAGTGGAAGTAAAGGCCGAACCGTAGGATGTTCGGTTAGTAGATAGTAGTTTATTATGAGGTGATCGTTTGATCACCTCCTCTCTTTTGTTGTTATCTGACCGTTCGGTATTTGGCTTTTGTAAATCGTTCGTTCATGTTTTTCTCTTATCTTGTACAGTTTAGTTGGAAAGCTTATGTAAGGCCGTTCGGCCGTAAGCGTACGTTATTTAGTGTAAGACTGAATTGATATATTATTAAATGTAATTAATTATATTATATGGTTTATTACTATATTTTTGGGATGTTACAAGTGACTTCTAAGAATAAAATTATTAGATGGATATGTTTATGTAAATATTTTAATTTTATTTTATATAGGTTATAGTTTTAGCTTTTTAAGAAATTTGAAACTTATACCTTTGTTAAAAAATTATTCTTAATTATATTTTTACAGTGTACTTTCTACTATCAATTTTATATTATGCATCTTAAAATGTTTTCAACTAAGTTTAAACGAAATAAAAATAAGATACACTTAAAGAAATATCCTACTTTCTTATATTAGTTAGTATACTTAATTCATACTTTATGTAGAAAGAATCAAAGTAACGTTAATAAATATTTTAATGGTAAAACGGCTTAAAATATATAGAAAAGGTTGAAAACTAGTGTTAAAGACATGCACTTTAATAGCACTTACAATTATTAAGGAAAACAACTACTTAAAACCATATACATATAAAATAAAATATAAAATTAATTGCAATGTCATTTATTAATTTTGTAATCAATAATTATTATCATATTTATTTTTTTATTTTAATCTTTCTTAGGCTTTCTCGTACTTTAAACAGTAAAATCCTCTTACCATATACGGTGAAAAGAGAAACAAAATGTATGATTTATAATTAAATAATGAAAATATGAATGGTTGCTTATTCTTTTTATGGTTGCATTTAAATATTTTTGTTTTTCTTATTGAAATTAAAAGTTGTTAGTAAATCCACTTATTATAATGTTCCCAGAAATATAAGTACTTGATTATTAATATTTAATTTCAAAATATACTATATAATATATCGAGTAAAAATAAGGTAGTTTTCTAAAAACGAGTAAATTAGAACAACATATTATACACATAAAATCAAATTATATAAATATATATATATATATATATATGTGTAAAATATAAAAATATAAGATGACATTAGGTTCGGGAAGCATTCTTTCTATATCTTTATAGTTTCACCATATACCTCCAAAATGATATTGTTGTTCTTTATTTAAAAGAAGTTTTCTTCCTTCATCTTTATAGTTTCATCTTACACCTTTAAATTTATATTGTTATTGTTGCTCTTTGATTTAAAAGAATATTACACCGCCGATGTAAATGAGTTATGATTAATGATGGTGTTTACTTTTTACCACCAAATTAAATAAATTTTATATATCTATACTTTGATTTCAAAATTCACTTATTCACTTATTTTTTTCTTACTCCTTTATTTTTTCTACTTCTATTGTGCATTCCAGTAATGGTCCCGACGGTGGTCATGTTGGTGATAATTATCGTCGTGGTGGATGTCGTCGTGGTGTTATCATTGTGAATTCCTCTTTAATGTCAACATTCGAGGTTAGAATTTATATTTGGAAGACCCTTAATCGAATTTCG